TATAATTTTACCAAATGTTATAAAGTCACTAAAATAGCTAGATGTTGAGAGCAACAGTTGCTAAACCAGATTTTTATTGAACGTAATAAAAGCATTCAAACTAGTACTCAGCTAAGTGATTTGCAATACACTGCTGAGAATTTATTTCCCTTTGAAAACCCTTCTATCCAAAAATTACTGTAGAGATAGCAAATGATATTTCTTTTCAAGGCTCTGTATATTTCATCGCTCTTTGGTGTTAGATTTGAAGTGGGTTATTTGTAGAGAGAACTATGCATCTGTGTAACACTCAAGTAACATATACACTCTATTGGTTCTTCCCTGTGATTAGGCTGTCACTGATACTATAGAGTTTTACAGATTACAGGTTTTGCCTAAAGCTACAGTCAGCTCTCTTACCCAGTAATTGGATAGACAGATTTGGCTCAGCTCAGCAAGTCTGTACTTCTGTATGCAAAAGAAGCCCTGAATTGAAATACAGCAGCCTTGCCAGGTCAGGATAAACAGAACTCAGTGGGGAAGTTTAGCAAATCGCCTTTAAAGAACACTTTTCATCCTATTTCTACGCCTTTGTTAACTGACTTTCATAGCTTATGGATATACATATATATGTATATGTATAATTAAGCATTAAAAACGATCATCCAAATTTTGACTTTCCTTAAAAGAATTTCTAAATTTTAAAATGTTGGCTTCATTAAAAGTGAATGTTTTCTAACTTTCTGTGCTCAGGTACATACAAACCTTGAAGCTTTTCAGACTCTGATTTTTGTTTGTTTGTTTATTTTCAGGACATAACATTGCTATAAAAGTAAACAAATTACATGAGCACCATGAGCTGCTATTTAATTTCAAAAACTCTGAAATCCTAAGTTAGTTTGCTTATAACACACTCGCTCCATAATGAAACTTAAATCTGGAGCATTTTAAGTAATAAATGTATGTATAGTGTGGGTGAGCTTATGACACCACAAAACCTTTACTTTTTCACTTCATAAATTTATTGCTGTATTGGCCCACATATAAGACTTTTTTAGGCCACCTTAATTTTCAAAGGAGAGGAAAATTGCAAGTTGCAAAAATAAACTCTGTCACATAAAACTTTCCATCTGTAGCCCCCGGAGCAATTGAAGGGGTGAAAATGTGCCCTGATACCCCTTCCTTCCTTATGCTTTAGGTGTTTCCAGCTAGAGTTACTGAAACTGAAATTTAAATACAATTGCTACCTTAGCACGCCAGCCAGTCTGTTAGAAGTTGCGTTCTGTTACTCTGCTGGCCCCAAAAAGGGGCTAGTGTCTCTCACAGTCAAGCATTGTTAAATACAGAAAGCTTTTGAAAATGGAGATTTTAAAAACAGGTTTAAGGTGATTTAATCACCTCCCTCCTCCAATTCTTCCACCAGCCTCTCTCCTCTCAGCATCTCCAAAGGGACGTTTGGCAAAGGAGGAAGAAATAACAGTTCTTTAGTTCTTTGCAAAAGAGGGAAAGATACTGGTTAGCTATTGTCTCTGCTTCCCTGTCCAGGCCCATTCTCTAGCTAGCTTAGAAAAGAATTCTGACCCCTCAGACAAAGAGCATCTTAAGTATGTGTTCTGACTCTCCATTTGCCGTTCGGCTTTGTGCAAGTTTTTTTTAACCTTGCCAAACTTCAGTTTTACCATCTGTAAAATGGGAGTGATATTTCTTACCTCATAGGGTTGTTGTGAGGATTAAGTGGGAAAAAAATGTATATGAAGCCTTTAGCACATAATAAGCACTAATTAATATTTGCTATTATGACTACAGCATTTGGGATAAGATGATGTGGCTCAGGCTGCTGGCTGTGCAGAGGCTCCGTTCCCTTCTCTTCCTTGTCATACAGCTGGGCCGTATACCCCAGGCTTTCTCACGGGAGGTAGGGCCACAAGGCTGAGTTCCAGCCAAGAGAAGGTGAACAAAAATTATGTGTGCCACTTTTAGCTCAAAGCTTTCAAGCAGATGCTCCCTTGACCCTACTTCGCCCCTTCTACCTAGATGCAAAAGATTACATCAAAGGGATAGTGGAGACACAGATAAGAAAAGCCAGGGTCTTAGAGTAACAACATGAAGGAGAATAGCCACCACTACACCCCAACCAAGAAAAACTATCATTGACTATTCTTTGTGCCATTATTTATCTTGGGGTCTATGTGTTACACAGCTACCTTGCCTAATTGAAACAGCTGGTAAGGAGACAGAATTCACATTTAAAATACTGTTGGTCTGGTGGGGCAGCGGTTCTCACTGTAAAACAAACGAGAAATGTTCAATTGCTTGAAAGTCTAGCTTAGCCTTTCTCTTTCACATCTTTATTTAGTTTCTGTCTTGAGCTTAATTTTCTTTTACCAATACTGTTCACTCTGCACAGTTCCCACATATATGTGCACCCCCTTCTGTCTCCTGGACCTAATTTTTGTTAACACAGCCAAAAGAGGGTGTGATCTGGGGTCGGGAGGCAGGGGGGTAGGAGTGCCTTATTTAAATCCCAAAGGAAAATGAAAGCAAAATAGGAGTATGGTTTTCTAATTTTAAGAACCGTAATAAAAGTACTTATGCATTTTACTGAGCATGAAAGCCCTGTAAACACAGAATTTGGATTATTTGCTGTTTGGTTCCTGGTTGTGAGTGGTGGGCGCCATCTTGTTTCATTCTGCCTGAGAGCAGTCTACCTAAATATACAGCTCTGCTCAAAGAGAAATACTTGTAGGGAATATACTTCAATACACTTCACAGTTCAATCCTCCCCCTCCTCACTGGTCTGGGCAGCCATGACCTATCTCCACTTTGGAGGGTAAACCTAGTTTAGAGTTCATGTGCGAGTCATTAGTGTTTAAATGCCTTGAGCCTCAATAAATGATGTGGCCGTTTCCAGCTTCGATAATAAGCTTTACCCACTTTCTGAGGTGTTCTATGACTCAGACCACATTCCTAAGTCAGAGATTGTTAATATTACAAACGTACAGTATCAGTAAGGTTATGCCCCATGAGTAAATACATCTAGCTAAGGGCACTGCTAAAAATAGCCCCAGAATACAGGTGAGGAACAACTAATCAAGCTTTACCTAAAACATGTAGGAATCCACAAAGGGGCCCATTCTTCCTTTCCAGCTCCTTTATCCAAATTTCAGGTGTTCTTGGCCATTGAACAAAAACTGTCAATGGGGAATTGTTCAGTTTGACTATCGGTTAATTCATAACCTAGAGTATCAACAATTTAGCAACCATAGATTTTAAGTGAAGTGAAGGAACCCAAAGTGCATAGTATTTCGGCACGGTGTTCTCAATGGCAATGCTAAACTGGGGTTGCTTTATCAGTATAAAACACTTTGGAACAGAAACAACAGCAAAATCTGAGTTTCATTATCCAAGGTAAATCATCCCTTACTCTTTAGTCTTTTAGAAGATAGTTAAGACTTCCCAAATGTATATATGGTAGATTCAAACCACTCCTAAGCACATGTATATCTGTGCCAATGATTTCAAGGTAGGAGAGGGGGCTCAGTAAGCTACCAACAGAAAGCACAGATTTGAAGGCAATTTTTGATACATTAAATTACTGCCCAAGACCAATCTGAAAGCAGACTTAGGCTTTAGCACATTCCTAGCAACGACAAACTAAGATTACAACCCACTTTGCTAAAAAGGATAGTTTTTAAATGTTCTATTAACATACAGAAATGAAAACCCTGAAATTTTACAACCAACAACATGTAGGAAGCCATTATCTGAAGTGTAAGCAACTGCATAGTGCTATTTTAATTACGCATTGCAGGGAAACTGTGATTGTGTCTTCGCCAGTATTTTATTAGAATGTCAATTCAATTGAATTACATCCCATGGGAAAGATTAGCATGGATTTTAGTATGGATGTGTGAAAGTGTTGCTGTGCCCAGGCCAACTTTTAAAAGTTGTGTGCTAATGAGAGTGAAAATGGAAAGAGAAGTGTGAGTTTCTCTGGTCCAAGAAATCCTGCAGCCATTCTTTCCTCCATTCCACTGTAATCCTCACTACATTTGCAAATGGTACAAACTGAACACAAAGCCTGCCAGACATCAGCACTGCACTTTGAGCATTATGAGAGGATCAGAGGGATTTAGGATGAGGAAATGTATGTTCAGACATCTATTCCTCAGCTTAAAACAGGCAGGGAATTAAATATTGAACTATACAGTGAATGGAAATTTATTTGAATCAAATTTTTAAATCTCACCCCTCCACACACACACACAAAGGAACTTCAGGATTTGGGGTCACCTATGATAACGCCCACATTTTACTAAAGAAACAGAGTCAGGAAACTAGGGTCACTTGACTAGCAAATTAGTGGCAGTGCAAATTTGCTAAGGTCAGTTTACTACCCTTCTTTTTATATTGCTATTACTACAGTTTCTGGACAGTGCTTCAACACTTCCCATTTTGTCTTTTATTGACTTTTTTTTTGAAACTTATAATTAAGGGGAAAATCTGAGTATACGATACAGGTGTTTCTTTGACCACGTAAAAATAGGACCAAGTAAAGGAAATAGGTAAAAATCGAAGAGATGTAGTATTGGTGAAATCTCCCCCCTCCCCAGGGCAAGCAATGTTTATGGATTGCTAGTCCTGGAACACTAGCTGAGACAAGCCCCTGAGAAAAAGCCTGTGAGCTGCTGCTTCTGTGGCCCTCCACTTTCTGCAGTTTCCTTTCTTTTTAGTCCTTGGTGTTTCCAGAAGTTATCACCACCTGCCCAGATGAAAATTAAAATCACTTCAGGAAACTCAAAGTAGTATGTTTTCTTCTGTGATGATCGAGAAATTCAATGGCCATTTCGCGATGCCTTCACGATTAAATCTCAGAGCAGAACCCACTATCCTTTGGACAATCTGACCTTTGTACTCTCCTCTCACACAAACCCCAGGAGACGGGAGGATTGACCAGCCCTGTGGGTGGGGTGGAACCTGGGATGTGCTGCTGTTACAGACTCTCAACCTACCGCCCACTTCCCTTCCCCCCACTCCTCCGCCCATCACACACACACAGTCCAGCCTCCCACCGGACCCCTGACCTCAGTACCCCCTGCCGCGCAAGGAGGAATAAGTCAGGAGGTAAGAGTCTGCCCTCCGTGGAGCCTTTAAGGCTCTGGTCGCCCCCTCCAGCGCTGGGCAGTGCAAAGGCCTGGTGACTGCGTAAATGGTGGGTGCAAGGCGGGGGGCTTGGGGACAGCAGCCGCCAGCCAGCCGGGCCGGGCACACCACTGGTGAGGTTAGGCCTATTGAAAACATCAAATCGCCTAAGCCAGGATAGATGCCACACATGCATTCAATGCCAAGGGCATTGGAGCAAAACTTGGAGACGCAGGACTCCAAGTGTCTCTTCCCTCAGTCCCGGGTCTGAACTCGCGGGGGAATCTCCCACTCTCTTCCCGACCAGGCGCCGGCCTCGTGGCCCCCACTCAGTCGACCTCCACCCGCTCCTCGCCCGCCCGCTCACGGTCCCCCGGGCCCGCCGCCTGCGGCCCGCCCTTCCTCCGCCGCCGGGTCACTCCGGGACAGGCGCCCTCCCCCCGCTCTCCCCGCGGCAGGAGCCCAAGGCTCCAGCGGCTGCGGCGGCGGAACCCCGTGCCAGTGCCGGGCTTTGAACTCCCGCGCGACACTGGAACCCACCCCCAACCCCCGTGTCCCGGCTCCGGGCTCCTGGCGACCGGCGGCCGCGACCACGGCGGACCGAAGCTCGGCGAAGCCCCTGGGCGTGCCCCGGGTGACCGAGTAAAGGGCGCCCCGGTGAGGAGACGGACGGCAGGCGCCCACGACTTGGAGGGGCTGCCTTAGGCTGCAGGACTGAGAATCGACTGCTCGCTGGAGCTTTACACCTTAAGTGTTTCTTGCTGTGAAGCTCCCTGAGCCCGGCCCTGGCTCTGCGAGCCGGCTGAGAGCGCTGGGCGACCCCTCCCGGGTCCCGGGACTCGAGTCTCCTCCGCTGTGCGTTAGGCAGCTTGGTGAGCCCTCGCTGGCCTGGCAGAGCGTCGGAAGAACAGGGAGGATGGGGCCGCGCGGATCTTGCAGGAGTGAGCTCCTAACTCTGGGACTCCAAGCTCCCAGCAGGTCTTTTTTAATGGAAATTTTATTGAGGCCGGCTACACTGTCCTGGGCAAAACCCCATGCAATTGTTGTAATGTATATTTCATTGCAGTATCAAAGGTGCCTGATGCACAGCTAGATGCTTGTTCACGAACTTCACACACCTGTTTAACTAGCAGTCACACCAAGCAACAGAACATGACCTGCACCCTCAATGCCCCCTCAGCTCTTCCACCAATCGGGGCAATCCCTACCCTGTCTTCCAACACCAGGACTAGTTTTGCCTGTTTTTGTACATTATGTAGATAGAATCATAGGGAATGTGCTCTTTTGTGTCTGGTTTCTTTTCACTCAATAGCATGCTAGTGAGATTCATCCATGTTTTTGCCTATGGTTGAAGATGGTTGTTTCTCATTGCTGTACACAGTATTCCTTTGTATATATTACAATTCGTTTATTCATTCTATTTTAATGAAATATAGGTAGCTTCCAGTTTTGTGATTGTTATAAAAAATGCTATTGTGAACATTCTGGTAGATGCCTTTTGATGACCACTTTTCCTTTTCTGTGGATAAATAACTAGGAATGGAATTGCTGGATCTTACGAAGGCATTTGCTCAGCTTTGGTAGACATGGCCAAGAGGTTTCCAAAGGGCTGCACCCGCTTACCACTTACCAACAATATCTTAGAATCCAGTGGCTCCAAGACCAAGTATTGATTGAGGACCTACTGTGTAGCTGGGAAAGAGCAGGGCGCAGGACACACTGAGCCCCTACCCTCAGGAGTTCCAACAGGAGACAGACTATACACACCTCAGCAAACACCCGGACAAACTACTGCCTAGTGGAGGTAAGTGCTGGGAAAATAGTAAAACTGGGCCATGAGATGGAGAAGGGCATGTAAAATGGGCTGGTTGGAGAAGGCTTCTGTGAAGAGACAACTGAGTCTAGACCTCAAAGACAAGAAGGAACTCTGGATAAAGACAGGGCATAGGCGGGAAGTCATCCCAATCTCTCCTTTTTTTGCCTCGGGGTTTATAAGACTTCTCAGACTTGGGCAGAACCAAGTTGCAGTTTCCAAGGTCTTCAAGTTCACTGTGCTGCTGCTACTTGGGAGGGGGTGGGGGAGGAAAATCCCAGGAAGCCTCTAGCCAGAGCACCCACCTCTCCCAGCCTCTGAACTCCCAGACACTTCTTTCCCAGTATCTCCACCTTCTGTTGTATAGTTAGTGCTCGTTATGCTTTGTGCCCACACTCCACATTTTGCCAAGTACTTTACCACTTGAAACAATATTTCTCACTTCTAGTTATTAATGAGGTAGCCTGGTGTTAGACACATCGTGAGTCCCCACAAAGGAAACAGACAACATGAAAACATTAACATGCCCAAGGCCAAAAGGCGAGTCAGTGAAAGATCAAAGGAGGCTCTGGACAGTCCATACCACCCTCTAGGCACTGTGCTGAGGACTTCTATACAGTGTCCCTTTCATTACCACAGCAAACCCCCAAAGTGGGCATCATTATCTCCATTTAACACCTAAGGAAACTAAGACAAGGGAGATTACCCAACAAACCTGAAGTCACATAGTTAACAAGCCGGGAAGTCCAGACACAAACCCAGAATTGTCTAACTTTGAAACCCCGTCTCAGATCAGGTTTCCTAGAAGCAGAACCTGTGACCAAGATTCATGCTGAGGCAATTATCGTCAGGAGTGCTGTTAGGAGAAGAGTGGGGGGAGCAGAATTGGGCAGGGGAGAAGGTGAGCAAGACTCTCATCTCAACTGGAAACTGACTTTAGTCTATCCCACTAGGAACATGAACTACATCACAGGGTTAGTCTCACTTTGAAGCAAAGGGGGAGCCTTTTGTAGCTATTGTCATGCAGCCCTGGCAGTACTCCAGAGAAGGGAACATCTTTGGGCCCTTAGCAATCAACACACCACAGAAGGGGAGGGAAGTACCAGATCAATGAAGGGGCTCCAGCTGGGAACCAACAGCACCTACTGTGCCCAGTCTCAGCTTGTCTTTGCCCCAGGCTCCCTTGGGGTACTGAGGATGCCCAGATCACTCCCTGCTCCAAACACTGCAGTCTTCCCACCCCTCCTACACCAGGGGTTCTTTAGGAAGGGCTTGTTAAAACTCAGATTGCTGGGCCCCACCCCCAGAATTTACAATGTAATAGGGCTGAGTGGGATCTGATAATTTTCAATTCCAACAACCAGGTGATACCTTGCTGCTTGTCTGGGGTGCACTATTTGAGATCCACTGTTCTGCAGCATCATTTTAGGGCATTACATCTGTGACATCTAAGCTAGACTAATCTGCCAATGATCCCTTATTTTAACTAAGTTAACTGGACAATATGTCTCCCCAAATAGTAACTCTTCTGGTGGAAATATGAGAGTCGGTGGCAGATAACTTGAATACGAAAGTCTTCATGGCACCCTGTTGGTGATACCAATGATTCAATCCAACCAAAAAGAAAACTGGGAACTCTAAGCGTTAAAGGAAAGGCTTGAGGCAAAATATTAAATTAGCTGAAATTTTGCCATCAGGTCCTGAGACTCTTATTCTACCTTATGTGTCTCCTCTTTCTAGATTCCACTCATGGGCCCAGAACATTTTATGCTGAAACTGCCTCATACCTGTTCACAAGTGATTTGAGTCCATCTCCTCCAAACAAACATTAAAATCAGCCAAGGTAGGAATATTTACAGCATGGGAGTCAGCAAATTCTAAAAAACAGGAATCTTTATTTCCAGAGACCTAGTTACTAAACTTTTACCACATACCACTGCATCACCAGACCGTTAAAAGCTATTTGAAAAAAGATTAACAAACACACACCAATGTATAGTCGACAATAAAATTTAATACTTCTGTGTGCCAAACGCATACCTATTATGTGCCAGCACTATGCTGAGTGCTTTCTCATGTTTTTCGTTTATTTTCACAATAACCTGCAGAGGTGTTTTTATCCTAAGAAGAGAAAAATGAGACTCTCAGAAGTTACTTGACTTCCTCAAGGTCACACAACCAGTTAAAGGCTACACCAGCTTTCCAAGCCACATTGACTAATGCCAAAAATCTAGGTTCTTTCTACTGCTGCATTCCTACTTACTTGTAGTTTGAGAGATTAAGGAGACTAAGTCTTAAACCAAAGAAATGATTTTTTCACTGCAGCAGTTCACAAATGCTTCGGTCTCAAGACTCTTTCATACTCTCAAAAAGTATTGAGGACCCCAAAGAGCTTTGGTTCTGAGGATTATAAATAGGATATATAAATAGCATCAATAAATAGGGTATTATAAATAGCATCAATAGTATTGGAATGGAAAATGAGTAATGTTTAAAATATTTTTACTAATCATTTAAAATTAACAATGATAAATCCTTATGTATTAATGTAAAGAACATGTTTTCTTAAAAACAACTATATTTTCCAAAACAAGAAACTATTTAGTGAACAAAAGGCATTATTTTACATTTTTGCAAAATGTTAAAATGTCGTTTCTTGCTAATATAACAGAACATCACAGACCGGATAATTTTAAAAGAAAATAAATTTATTTGGCTCATAGTTCTAGAGGCTGGGAAGTCCAAGATCAAGGGGCTGTATCTGTTGGACCGTCTTGCTACATCATAACATGACAGAAGGACAAGGAAGCATGTAAGGCAGAGAGAAAAACAGAAACCATACTTCATCCTTTTATCAGGAGCCCACTCCTGAGATAAATACCCAGCTCCTGCAATAAGGGTATTAATCTACCACCTGAAGGTCCCATGTCCCAATTAATTTATCCAATGAAATTTCAACATGATTTTTCGAGTGAGCATTCAAACCATAGCATTTAGTGTAATAGTATAGCTGGAGTCCCATAACTGCTTCTGCATTCAATCTGCTGCAGTATGTTGTTTGAGTTGAAGTATGTGAAGAAAATATGACTGTATCCAGCTTGGAAAGGCAGGATCTCATGGACCCCCCAGAAATGGTCTTGAGGACCACCAGGGGTCTTGGAATCACTTTGATGACTGCTGATCTAATTATTAGATGTCAGGCTCAAGACAGTGATGGGAAGACAGTAGGCTTCAAACTTTAGTCCATCCAATCTTAGGAGTTAAGATTATTTAGAATTTGACTAAGCGAGGGAGCTAAATGGCTATTTTATAAGGTAAACATAAAAGTCCCCCCCCCCGCCACTGCTCTCTCTCTCTCTGTCTCTCCCTCTCCCTCTCTCCCCTTCTCTCTTTCCTCCTCTCTTTCTGTCTTTTAAATCCCAGTAACTGCCAGCCCACTGATTTGCCAAATCCCAACAATGGCATTTGCAATACCATTTATTCATTCAGCAAATTATATTAAGCATCTAATATGTACCAGGCACCATACTAGACACTGAGGATATAAAAGTATATAAAACATCCACAGTGGCTACCTCTTTGGGGCTTACATTTTACTGGGAGAGACAGGCTATGTCACATACAGAAATGTGTGGTTCCATAAAAAGATAATGAGAGATTTTCTGCAGAAGGAAGTCTTTTCTGGGAAGTGCTAAGGGGAGTCCTGAGGATTCCTAGAAGTGAATTCAGAAAAGGTGGGAAGGAAATGGGGCACTCAGACGGCAAGACTAAAAGTGATGTGAAATAAGACCTATAGCCTATGTCAAGGATTTGGCTCCTAAAAAAACCAAAAAATGAGTTTTTTACTGGAAAAGGGTGTGATATGATGACACTGTTCAGAAGGCTTTTGAGTAGCCTAGGCAAGACAAGGTCTAGGCAAGCTTCAACTCACATGAGTAGAGGGGGATTAAGACAAGTGCACAGATTTGAGAGATGTCAGAAGGTAAAACTGATAGAAGTCAATGCTGAGTTGGATATGGGGAAGGAGAAGGTATCAGGAATACCTCCCAGATTGCTTCAAACATCTATTGAACACCCGCTATGTGTCAGTCACTGCACAAGGATCTGATGTCACAGCCAAATAGGAATTGGGATTAGGTTTGACTAGAAGTAATAGAAAAATAAAAACTATTCATTTCTTAAATGAAATAGGCCTTTCTGTTTTTATCATCTCTCATTTAAAAGTCTATAAGCCCAAGTTCCAGGATCCTACTTCTTGAAATTTAGGATCCTCTGACTTTGTTGCTCCCCAAGGCTGGACCTCCATTCCCAAGGGCCCCCAAGATGGTTTCTCCAGGTCTGGCCATTGTACAAATGTCCAGCCATCAGGAAGAGGAGGGTGAAAAATAAGGGGCAAAGCATAAAGGAACTTCCCAGATGCAACCACACAACACTTTGTTTATGTCCATTGCTCAGAATTTATCCAGTAGCCCCAAAGATGCTGAAGGGATGCTAGGGAGCACAGTCTTCATTCTCGGGAGCCATATGTACAGCTAGAAGTTTTACTACCAAGGAATAAGGGGAAAAATATAATGAGGGACAACATAGTTTTCACAAATACAGAATTAGACACAGGTGTTCCATTTTTGAGGGCTTACAGCAGTCTGAGGTCAATGGTTTCCATCTTGTGTATCCAATAAAAAATTGGAATCAGAGTCAATGCTGTAATGTGGCCATTTTGACTCTGATTCCAATTTTTTATTGAATTAATTTAATTAGTATTAAGGCACGGTGATAGTTCTCATTTCATTTTGTATGCAAAACTTTCCTGATTTGATTTGCTTCAATTGAATACTTTAAGGGATTATAGCCATAGGATTCTATTTTCCATAAATGATTAATTAATTTTGTTCAAAATATCTTAAATATTATTAAGCATATTAAAAGAAGGCATTGAATTATAAACTTTATGAAAGCACTGCTTAAATCATGAAACATATTTCTTGTTAAATTAATTTAAATAACAAATTTAGTGAACAAGTTTATGTAGAGGTATTTTCTCCTCCAATATGAGTGATTCGAAAACTAGCAAGAAAATGTATTTTAAAATTTACCTTTCCTTATTGTTTTCAAGCTAAAATTCATGCACAAATGTTTTAATGTGTATATATGTGTCTGTATATGTAAATAAACATCTGTTTTCCTGTGTGAAGTCATTGCCCTACAAGAAAGCATGATGTATATCAATTTGGATGACTTGAAATATCTTTTATGAGATAATTAAAGTATAAACTGTTCCTAAACTATTAACCTTCTGGTAGCTTCATAAATGTAGCAGCTGATGACATACCATAAAGTACAACTGTCAACTTTTAAGATATGAGCTAAGCTTGCTTGCTCAGATTTGGGCATAGATAAGAAACTTGACTCAGTCTAGTTTTATAGTTGCCCAGAGATTTAAATAAGAAGGGATGATTGTCTATCACAGCTCATAATAATGCACTTAAATTTAGAGCTCCAAATACCCCCACTCCCCAGTCGGCATGCTTCTCGAGGCCTTCGGACTGAAAAACTGCAGCTGTGTTTATGTGGTAATTTAGAATCCCTATTACATATGCAAGCAACTGGGTTCCATGGCTCAATCACAATTCATTCATTTTGCTTTTTTTGTACCAAAGAAATAAAATCAGAGAACTCTATAGCATTATGGCCAGCCCCTCAAAATCACAAAAATCAGGAGATTGAAAATGATAGCCCCACAAAACCCACAAATCGTTTCCATTTGCCATTAAATAAAGTTCACAACAGAAATTCCAGATATATGTAGTTAAGGTGTGTTATTCAGTTCAGCAAATATTTAGTAAGACAAGAAAACAAGTAGCCATAGTAAAATAAATTAAAACATGAATAAGGAAAGGCCTTTACTTTGAGGATACTGAAGCCTAAAAGAAGATATTTCGAATCAAGCACCATGTGTCTATTTGTGTGCATGAGAGTGTGTGTGTGTGTGTGTGTGTGTGCGCGCTTTATGGAGAACACCAATAAATGAACTGAGTTTGTTTCCAGATATGAATAAAATTCTCCAATACTTTTCTTTGGGAATGTAACAAATCTGTGCAGACATGTTATTTATGATTCACATAGCAAAGATTTTTAAAGTATTTGTTTATTGTCTAGATCCACAGTGACCCTAGCAAAAGTATCTGTAGTTCATCTTGTTACATATACTAGCCAGACTCTGAAAAGTTATGTAGAAATTGGCTTTTGTGCAAATGGAAGACTGTTTTCATGATGCTTAATAGTTAACTCAAAATCAAATGTTAAAGTCATATTCTAATTCAGGTGTTTTTTTATAGATCTGGGCTTTTCTCATATTATTTTTACTTATTGAATGTGTGTGTCTACAGTGTGAGGGGGATGTACCAGCATCTTATAAGGAAAATCATTTTACTCTAGAACATTCAACACTTTTTAAAGGTGCTGCAGAGAAATGGAATTTTTATAATCATTTTGGAACATAACATAGACTCCTTCTAATTTACTCGTGGGTTGCATTTCAGATGTTAAGTTGATTGGTATGCAAAAGTTGCTACTGGAAATAACCTCTTACATGTTAAATTTTCAAGAAAGCACACAAAAGCAATTCATTAATCTAAGATATGGCTCTGCCATAACTGTTCCTATGTTTTTTTCCCTCTAACTTTTGAGCACTCCTGAAGTAGGGAATCAACAGCTCTCTTGTCTTTTCAACTCAGTAGGCAAGGACTTCACAACCTCAAAGTCACAATGATTGCTAAACCAGGGCTCCTGAGGTGACGAGAGAGGGGTTGGGAAGGATAGCTGAAGGGTAGGACAACTGAGCTATAAGGGATGAGATGATGGGATGGAAGGTAAGGGACCTTTTGCTTTCTTTTCTAAGCAGTTATAGAAAAGAACTGCCATTACTGAGATTGATAAAAGGAAAATAAACATCAAGCAGTATGACACCATCTTTTTTTTTTCTCTAGACAGGGTGTGTTGCCCAGGCTGGAGTGCAGAGACATGATCTGGGCTCACTGCAACCTCCGTCTCCTGGGTTCAAGTGATTCTCCCACCTCAGCCTCCTGAGTAGCTGGGACTACAGGCATGCGCCACCCAGCTAATTTTTGTACTTTTTGGTAGAGATGGGGTTTCACCATGTTGGCCAGGCTGGTCTCAAACTCCTGACCTCAGGTGATCTGCCCACCTCAGCCTCCCAAAGTACTGGGATTACAGGCGTGAACCACTGCACCTGGCCTGGCTCCGTCTTACAAACTTTTTGCTCTCGAAACAATTAGATAGATATATGATTGATTGATTGATTGATTGATTGAGATGTATGATAGGAGTTTTGAAAGTGGTGAGAAAAATTAAAGATACACATGCAGGCCAGTATGTACAGGCTGATTTCAAAGTCAAATTACATGGGTTCTAAACCCTGATTTACCACTTGGAAGTTGCATGACTTACAGCAAGTATTTAAATCTGTCTGGGCCTTGGTTTCCCTATCAAAAAAAAAAAGAGATAATAATAGAACTGTACTAAATTCATAGAATGTGGTAACAGAGTAAATGAGATAATCCATATAAAGTCATTAGCACAATGTCCAGAACATAGGAAGTGCTCAATAACATTAGCCAACAGCAGCAGCGGTAACATTATTTTTATGGAACATTGTTGAAAGCTGCAGGGATATAGAAAAAAACATATTCAGTGGGAGGGTAAGTTCCAACTTAACTAGATTTGTGACCCTGAATGGATCATTCAATTTCCTGGGATCTCATCTTCCTCAGGATATGTCTAGATAAGCCAATGTTTCTCGAGTGTCAGTGTGTGCGATCACCTGAGGATCTTGTTAAAATGAAGATTCTAATTCAGCAGGTCGGGGGTGGGACCTGAGATTCTGCACTGCTAACATGTTCCAGAATGAGATTGGTACTGATGGTCTGGGTACACACGTTGAGTAGTAAAGATCCAGATGGTATCCAGTGAGTGTCTTTTTCAGCTTCAATCCAGTTTATAATGAAGACACTGGCCCATTTTTGTATATAAAGAAAGAATGAAAAATTCAGGTTCACTTTTGAGAAAAATTAATCTCATATTAACATGGGAATTTTGTCTCTAGAGCTCCAAGAGATTGGAAGAGAAGGTGAGGATTCATCTGAAGGGTCAGATAATTGGCTGCTGAGAAGGTGGACAAAGGGGGATGTTTCCTGATGAGGTCCTCAGGACAGAGGCATTTTAAGTTGGGAAGGTTTTTTTTTTTTTTTTTCTTGATTCTGGAAGGCAGCATGGCATCATAGTGAAGAATGAGGGTGTGTGTGTGAGGGGTGGAGGGGTGTGTGTATGTAATCAGCTATACCTGGATGGTTATCTCAACTCTGCAATGTAATGGCTGACCTTGGGCAAATTTCTTAATTTTTGTCAATTTCATTATCTCATCTGTAAAATAGGAATAGCAGTACTTTGTTGGACTCTACTGACAATTGATATAGAGCCTAAAGTACTAAGCACAAGGCTTACATGCACAGGTAAGTGGCCAGAAAATGTTGTCTATTAAAATTATCATCATCGTCATTACCATTAGCCTTATATTAGGAATGCTTGAAGGCTAACCATTATAATCTTAATTCTATTTTAGTTTCGATGACAGTGGTTCTCAAACTCCAGTGTGCCCTAGAATCAACTGGATGGCTTATTAACACAGATTGCTGGGCCTCATCCTCAGAGATACTGATTCTGTAGGCAGTTCTTCGGTGGGGTCTAAGCGTCTGCATTTTTAACAGACTCTCAGGTGATATGATGCTCCTGGTCTGGGGACCACATTTTGGGAACCAACAATCTACAGAATTACTTCCTATAACTGGCATGATTATTAAGTGATGATGAATCTTTGGTAAGTAAATTTTCCACCCAAGTGAAGGTTACCTCAGATGCGACACTTTCATTTTAATCCCTTTTTGATGAAAACTTTTCTAAAATATATCATTCTTATTCTTATATATGTGAACAAGGGGCTTTTAAATACCACTTAGCTTTTCTTTTGGTTGCAGTTATCAGATAATTCCTCTTGATTTCAGAAGGGATAAATAAGCATGGCCTTTTGACTTATGAACTTATTAACCTGAACAATATTTCCGGGCTCTGTTCCTGAAGGGACAGTCATAGATCCCGAGAAGAGATAGTAGTGAAACTTACAAGTCAGCACGAGTTCTCTGAGAGTAGGTAAAGCTAACTATTTCCTTTATTGTTATGACTACTAGATTGGTAAATTGGAGAAATGGTATAGGCATAGATGTTGGACTAGCCAGGCTTACCAGGCAATACCAAAATGTGTTGAGTTGATTAATGGATGGGTGTCATTCTGGATAGATATTGCTTGTAGAGTGCCAGAGGGTTCTGTCCTTGGCTTTGTCTAATTCTTTCTCAGTTATTTGGATGAGCCAGAACATAGCCCATTCCCATTCTTCAGGGGTATGAAAACATAGATAAGAAGACCACTTGACAGATAATAAAGAAAGGGTGTGAAGGAGAGCCAGAGCAGACTTTGAGGGCCCAAACAATCCAGAACTCTGATTCTCTGATAGTTATGATCACTTGATTACCTGTTATGATACTGTAGTGTAATAGGCAAAATAGGTATGTGACTGCCTTAGAGCTTCTGGTCTTTGCTGCCAGGATGACAGCAGATTAACCTTAATTTTCAAGAGCACATCTCTTGCTGCTCAACCAAATTTTATCCTTTCTCGAATGTCTTCTTTCAACCTGCTCTTAGATTGCTGTTTCAGCTCTACAAGCATCCATGAAACCACATAACTAGACTTGACAAGAAATATAAATGAAACAAGAGTAAGCAGACCAATGGAGAACATAAGAGACCATTTGTTTGGAGTTTGGCTCTAGAGTCTCAGAGAGTGTTTTTTCTTACATTTATGTTCCAAAGGAATGAAATGATACAATCTTTGGCCCCCTGAGCTTTCATATATTGGTATAAGAGACTCAACTATCTATTCAATTATCATTCACATTTCAGAGAAAATTGTATTTATTTTATTGAATGATGACTTACCAAAAGGTTGCTACAAACGAATAGAAGGTGAAATAGATAATGCTGTATATTCTACTCGAATATATTCATTGTTCAATTAAATATGGTTGCAAGCACAATGTTAAGCCAAATGCCTTGTATTCATGTATGTACACATACCCTGTAAGTCTTGCTTTCTCATTTGCTATTGCCAAGGTGATAACTCTTAATGACAGATGGGAAAATGTTTTAAATAGAAAGGAATTTGGAGGAAACTAAAATAAATCTCACTTTACTTCATTATTCCACATCTTCTTTCCCTGAATGGCAACATATTAGTGAGGACCCTCTTAACAATACATGAGTTTTGTTTGATAGGCTGTCTGATTTGCGCTTATTTCCCATAGGCAATGAGTGTGTGTAGTCAAGTCTAGGTTAGGGTCAGACAGGTTTTTCATTTATCTTTTCTAATGACCTGTAAACGTTCCACTGACTTGGGCTTTTATTTCGGAGGTAAACATTTTGCTAACTAGTCACGGGTGATGTAGGCACATTAAAAACTCCCTGCTAATTTATCATCATTGTGTAGCTAACCTCCAGCAGGTAAACTAGGTCCATTTTGCTCTCATGATTTTATGATGTTGGCAGTAGTAGTAAGTATGCATTACTTGGTCTCATCCCTAACCTGAGAAAATGAACCTTTTTACAGTCCTTTCAATCTGATCACACTATTTTAAGTGCTGATGTATTCTGAAAAGATGAATTGTTTTATGTTGCAATGTTTCCACTGAGTAATAGAGTATCATGTGGGTGAGGGAGGAAGAAGTGTAGAGTTACAAATTTAAATACACTGGCTCTGTATTCAGAGACTTCCATATAAGGAAGCAAGGTGATACTATAAAATATTCAGATGTATTCTAGGGGTACTGTGCATTTCCTAGATTATCAGTTTCCTTTGCTACATTTCTGGGGACTAACTGCCAACATAAGAATTGTAGTAAATGATTCATAATTAGTAATGATTCATAATTAGTAAATGCGCTTTGTTTTTCTTTGCAGCAATATTTGTAAAAATAACCTTATTTTTGGTACATTTATTTCTGTCTATTGGGCATTTTGTGACAAATATATTACTTGAAATGTCATACTTCAGAACTGTTTTCTTTTCATCTATTTTGAGGAAAACATTAAGGTTCTGATTTGAATTGTTTTAGGATAGAAATGTATTAAGTGATATATGTTATTAATAAGCTCCATGTTTTTCTCTATTCTCTATAAGGTGCTAAAACATTCCAGACATCAGATTCTTAGTCTAGAAAATTATTTAAGCAGCAGCAGCAAAATTCAAATTTTCTGACAACAGAAGGTAGAACAGGAAGTTCTCATTTGGGGATGATTCTGGCTCCTGGGGACATTTGTGGAGACATTTTTAGTTGCCTCAACCTGAGGGGGTCAGGGGAAGTGTGTTCTACTGGTATCTAGTGGGTATAGATCAGGGATGCTGCTCAACTTCCTGCAGTGCAAAACACAGCGCTCACAATAAGGAATTACGCAGCCCAGAATGTCAATAGTGCTAAGACTGAGAAACCTGGACCTACAACTCTGTTTGCAATACAAATACAAATGAAAAGGAGTGAGGCAGTCTGAACTCTACACACTGGATCAAGATCCTTTTCAAAGGTGGAAATAAAGAAACCCTAAAGGAGGAACTCAACCTAGGATACAAGAAGAGAGGAAACATTTTGTTCCTTTGTGTTCCACATGTCATTAGGAAGTACACATGCATGGACTATTACATCACAGTGAATCATGACCACGTGTTCATTCTAAACATTGTGGTATTTGTTATTCCTAACTTTAATATACTGTAAAATCTGAATGTGGCATCACCAAACACCATGAAATGTGTTCTCCCCTTTTCCAATAGTGCATCAACTAATGGTTAAATGTGATCTTTAACTTGACAGAGTCTATGCAATCCTTCTGCTTTTTATTCTGCTTGGAGATCACAGCCTGTAGAACAGGATGATAGTTGAAAGCAGATGTTCTTCTAAACTATGTTTCACTCAAATCCAGCAATATGATAAAAGAGGAAAAATGGGGAAACATTGATGGGGCTTCAGGATAAAGAGTTTTATATTTTTCACAATGATTTGAATGTTAGTTCTCTTCTTTTTCAGGCCACATTCTGGTGTATTCTCTCATCATTTAATCATGTGTTACCTGTTGCTTTAGTCTGTCCTTTCTGATTTACTTCCAGTTTCTATTTCATTTATATACGTGTGTGTGTGTGTGTGTGTGTTTGTGTATTTATATATGTGCGTAAGTGTAATGTATATGTATACATGTTTGTATATATACACATCATATATAATGTATATATACACAAAATAATGATATAGTAATCATTTATATATCACATATATAGATAATATACAATATTCTGCTCATACCTTGACTCCTAACTGAAATGTTACTTTCTCAGAGATGCCTTCTATGACTATTTCATGTAAATTAAATACCTTCATCCATTGCCTTCTCTTATCTATCACATTTTTTCCTCCATATATATATATATAAAAAATATATGTACATATGTCTCTTTATATCTCTCTTGATATACTTTTTTTTTGAGACAGATTCTCAGTCTGTCGCCCAGGCTGTCTTGATATACGTTTAGATGTATTTCTATCTCATTTGACTCAAAGGAAGAGATAATTTTGCTTTCTCTACCATGACATTTTCAGACCCTGGCCTCTGACACTTTGCCCTCAATAAATGTTGCATGGGTGAGATAAAAGCTACCCACTCAAGGTGTACTGACAGTCAACTGTACTGAGATTATCAAAGCACGTGTCCTTCCCTTTTCTGTGATAAGGTGACTACACCCTGCACAATTGTTCTGTGCACACATACATTGTATAATTTGGCCGCAGTCTATTTTTTCCTATGTTTGTGACATAAAATGAAGGTAAGCCCCGACCTGTCAGTATGTGACATCATTTTTCCGAGACCAGCTCACAACTGCACATACACAGAGGCCTTTGCTCTTAGCTTTTTGTACCAATCTCTGAAGCACTATGGCTAAGCTTGAGACAGAAAAATTCCTGGTATAGTGATGAATCCCTTAAGCTGAGCAAAGAACCAGCAACAGTCGAGAACCCCTTTGAAGATGTTACTCAATTCCAAGAGAGGAATAAAAGGGGCCTATGGTTGCTCTCATTTAAACTTCTCAAGCCAAATGTTTGGCTTCTGCCTCGAAACATATCCTAGCAACATGACGTTGCAGACCTTTCCCTGAAGAGGTGGAGCCTATTTTTCCTTCTCTTAAAGCTGGACATTCTACATGTGACTTGCTTCGGCCAATAGAACTTTAGTAAATGTGACAAAAGCAGAGACTTGAATAGTGCATTTTCTTTAGAGTTCACTCTCTTGCTGATATTTGGGCCCTGAGACCACTGTGCAAGAATCCCTAACTACTCTGCTGGAAGATAAAAGACGATGAGGAAGAAGGCTGATCTATTCCAGCTGAGGGCTCCCAAGGCTGATGGGTCTGCCAACCACCAGACATGTCACTGAGATGACCATAGATTTTCCAACCTCAAATTAATGAACTGTCGAGCTAACTTACAGATTCATGAAAAACAAGTGATTTCCATTTTAAGCTACTAATTTTTGGAGTGGTTTTGTTATGCAGTAAAAGCTAACTGATAACAGTCACAGATAGCATATTACTGTCTGTTTTCTCAAGGAGGAAAGTCAAATGTCTATAAAATTGTGTGAGTTCAGCAGTGTTTGTGGAACTCACTAGTTTCCCAAGGTTGTTCAAGGTATAAAAAGGGACTTTCTGATCCAAAACTTGGGAATTA